GGGAAACCAAAGGAGGCTTGGCTCCTGGTAAACATAAAAGCTGAAATTCAGGGATACCAGAACCAAAGTCCTCAACAATCCGTGTTGTTTGTTGTTCTGTTTGTTTATTTATTTTTTGTTAAAATCCCACTCAATAATTCAAGCTGGTCTTAAACTCACTATGTAGCCCATAGTGAGTTGACTTCAAACTCAAGGTGATCCTCCTGCCTCAGCCTCCCAAGTACTGAGATTACAGGAATGTGTCACCACACCCAGCTAATAATCTGACTTTTATAGCTCCAAACCAGCCCATGTACAAGTGCTCCAGGATTTGTTCAGTAGAATCCAGGATTCTTCAGGTGGTAGACCAGTTGTTGCTCTCATTATACCAAGGAGAACAACACGTAGACTATCTACCTGTTGGGCCAGGGATTTAGCTCAGTGGCACAGGGCCGGCCTGGCAAACATGAAGTCCTTGTGCCGCTGAGCTACATCCCCAGCCCTCTAATTATATCTTCTAACAGAAGACTGGAAACTTGCTTTAGCACACCTTCATCAATACAAAGAGCTCTATATACAACTGTTTTAATTCTTTGTTATTTTGATTACTGAAAAATGAAATCTCTCTGTCAATCTCTCCCAGTCTGCTCTCACAAGGATTTGAACCCAATCCCCTGGCACCCGCTGAGCAATGTTCTACCGTCAAGCTGCACCCCAAGTCTCCAAATGCTCTCTTTAATAAAAGGTTAGGCTTGCTTTTTAAAATCTGGATTGCTAGGAAAACTGTTTTTTTCTCAACTGTTTTCTTGGCTGTGTGCTTTCTGTTATGCATTAACACTGATTTTGATACTAGTACTTTTCTTATTGATTTATATGGGTTCTTTCTATTGTAGGGTTATTAATCCTTAGGCTGTCATAGATGTGACAGATTTTTAGCCCAGTTGATCATTTGGCTTAATTTTGCTTACAATGATTCAATCCATGATTTTAAAATTTTAATTAACTTGGGCCAGTGATATAGCTCAGCAGCACAGCACCTACCTAGCAAGCACAAGGTCCTGAGTTCAATTCCCAGTACCCCCCAAGACACACACACACAATTTTAATTAACTAAAACCTCTCCAGTTTTTTCTTTCCTGACTTTTGCCATTGATTTTAACCTAAAAAGTCCACTTCAATTTCCCAAACTGTGATATTTGCTAGTACTTATAATTTTTTTGTTGTTGTTGCCTTTTTGAGACAGGGTCTTGCTATGCAGTTCAGGCTGGCCTTGAACACACTTTGTAGCCCAGGCTAGTCTCGAACTCACAGGATCCTCCTGCCTCAGCCTCCCGAGTGCTGGGATTACAGGCGTGTGCCACCACACCCGGTTAGTAGTTATAATTTTTAAATGGTGTCTATGGTGGCTTTCCACGATTTCCCACGCTGTGTTTCCCAGCAGCAGCGCGTACTTTTATCTTTGCTCTCGCCCTCTTTTTCTGTTTACTTGGCTCAAGTTCACTCTGCAGAGCCAGTTTCTCCCCCACTCCTCACTTTTACTTTCTCACATAAACTTATAAAAAAAAATAATTTTAAATGGTTACATTTTAGATTAGATGACCATCTTGAAAGTCTCTTCCAGTTCTAAAAAATGTAATGGTTTTCTGACTATATCTACATTGTTATTTGCAAACGCAGCACACGGTGTATACCTTGGAGGAATGGGGTTACCAGCGGTTTTTGATATGTAATATGTTATTCAGTACATTTGCTAGAACTTCTGTAACCTAGATGACAGGGTGCAAAGCCTAGTATTAAAATGAACAAAGTACCTCCCCCAATTTAAGAGAATATTGCTCATACATCTCCGCTGCTCGTTTAATTGTAACCCCCTGGCTCCTGGCCTTAGTTTTACATTCATCACTCCATTGTTTTAAAAACTGAGTCTTAAATACAAACAAGTATATCCAATAAATTGTTGTAGGTTTTTATATTTTTGTTTTGTTTCATTTTGTTTTGGTTTGTGGCAGGGCAGGGGGGTTGTTTGTTTTTGTCTTTTTGAGACAGGGTCTCACTATGCAGTTTAGGCTGACCTTGAATTCACTTTGTAGCCCAGGCTGATCTCCAACTTGCAGCGATCCTCCTGCCTCAGCCTTCTGAGTGCTGGGATTATGTGTCATTTTTTTGAAACAAGGTCTCACTTTGTAGATTAGGTTGGCCTTGAACTCACTATGGAGCCCAGGCTGGGCTCCAACTTGCAGCAATCCTCCTGCTTCAGCCTCCCCTGTTTAGGATTACAGGCATGCACCACCACACCTGGCTGATTTTTTACTTTTAAAAATAATGTTAATCAATAAGTAAACTTCGGAGCCTTTCATTCTTTCCCCTCAATGTTTCTAAGAGTCCTACAGACCCTTGGGCATAGCCGCACTTTATGGGTTCTCATTGCTATACAACAGCCTGTGTGTGACTACACCATATTTTTCTACCCATTCCCTCACTGTTGGGCATTGCATTGTTTCCAGTCTGACTGCTCTGACACGTCCAGTTATCAGTCCTGCAGCCCACAGGCAGGCATTTTTCTGGATATGGACCTAGGAGGGGAATTTGGCATAGGCCAAGCTAATGTTCAGCTTTAACAGATAAATCTAACCTGTTTTGCAGAGTAGCTAGAGCACTGGGTGTGGTGGTGCACACCTGTAATACCCGAACTTGGGAGGCTGACTCAGGAAGATCGCTGTGAGTTTGAGGCCAGCCTGGACTACCTAGCAAGACTCTGTCTCAAAAAAACAAAACAAAACAAAATAGCTGGAGCAAGTCACACTACCATTAGCAGTGGTTTTTTTTTTTAAATTTGCTTTCAACTCAGTTTTTTTAGGTCAAATAGTTTTTCTTTTAGACTTTGGATTCATACTGATTTACACAACTCCTTTAAACAAGCCTGCACACAAAGCTTCACCCTGTGGTTCTGAGGAAAATCTCCCACTGGCAACGAGCCAATAATCACAAATAGCCCATTGTCCAAAGTCTACACTCAGGGGATGAGGCCTGCATGAGACCTACAGTCCTGGGACCATGGTGTCATGAACCGGAAAGGTCTTTGGGGAGCCCGTCAGGCGCAGGGTGTCTTCTCCTCGGCAGAGTGGGGGCAGCTGCTCTCAGGAGCTGCTGCTATTCACAGCTCGCCCCCCTCTCCAGGGAAGCCAGCCACTCTTTTCACTGACGCTGAGACCATGTGCTATAATCTGCTATTCATAATTCCAGCGTTTACCCTGGAAACAGTAGCGAGGGAAATCAGATTTTTAAAAATGTTGATAGGGACGCTGTTCACAAGAATGATTTTTTTTTTTAAACTAGTGTGTTGGTTTGGGGGTTACTTTGTACAAGGGGAACAATATATAATACAGGACATATATCTTATAAGATATTTATAATAGTCACCCAAAGAATGATATACAAAAGAGTGCAGGAAATCTGTCCACACACTAAGACCAAGGAAACTGGCCGAGGGCCTGGATCCCATGGAAATGTCCTGCATGAGTCCAGCTGAAAACCCAGAGCTCATAACAGTGCTTCCCACGAGTCCACCTGGAGGCCCAGAGCCCAGAACAGTATCTCATGCAGGCCTGTTTCACAGATCTGTGCTCAGAAGGCCCAAAGGTCAGTGGTGGAATCTAGGAAATCTGTCCCAGCGGGATGAAGGATCTGTGCTAGCAGGCTGAGGGGTCTGCACTGGAGCCAGGAAGCGACGCTCAGGAGAACCAGAGCGCCCCCGGAAGGTACCACAGCCATCCTCAGCAACAGTGAAGTCCCGAGCTCCTCTGATGATCAGGATGGCCGAGTTCCCATCAGGGAAGCCAATGCGACACGCTTCTCCAGGAGATGGAGTAGTGCACCATCTTCGCCTCCAGAGCCAGGAAGCGATGCTCACAGTGAGGACCAGAGCTCCCCCAAAGTGAACCAAAGCCATTCTCAGTGCCCGCAACGTCCCGACCTCCTCAGAGGATGAAAACAGCCTCAGGAAAGCCAGCATGATGAGCTCCTTCAAGTCAACCAACAGCTCCTTACAGCTTCCACCAGCTCCGGACAGCCTCACTTCTTCTCCAGGTCTGCCTCTTATGCTGCTGGCAACAGTCCGCAGGTGGGCTCCCACACCCAGCACCACGCTTACTCTGCTCAGCTGGGGGTTAAGCTGACCACCAGTTATCAATCCACTACAACTAGGAACTTCGAAATGATCAACAAATAGGGAACATACTGAGCGTTTCCTTCCCGAGCCATCTGAGATTAAGTTGCAGAAATCATGGCCCTTGACCCCTAAGTACTGCAGGGTGTATGGGCATTTCTCCTGCTCAACCACACTTCGAGGATCCAACTCAGAATCGTACACGGATCCTGTGCTAATATCCACCTTTCAGCCCAGAGTCGTATTTTGCCAACTGCAATAATTTCCACGAAACACCTGCTCTGGTTCCTGCCCCTTCCTGGCCGTGGCCTGGGGAGGTGTTTGGGTGGAGAGTAGGGTGTGGCCTTCTGCTGGGAGTGGCTTGATCCTCAGAGCGAGCGCCTTTTGCCTCTTGCTAGGTGTCACCCTTCGCTATATAGGATACAGCACAAAGGCCCTGGCCAGACACAGCAGCTGTGACCTTGGACTTCCCAGCCTCCGGAACCACGAGCTAAGTAAACTCTTCGTTATAAATTATGCGTCCGCGGTATTCTGTTTTAGCAACAGAAAACAGACTAAGCAAGGACATCACTCCTAGCAGTATTACTTTCCCCAGTCCAAGGACCCATGTGCCATTTCGCTGGCCTATCTCTTATTCCCCTTTAATTCAGAACAGTTTCTTCCCTTAATCTTAAATGATCTTGACTTTTTTGATCCTTTTTTTTTTTTTTTTTTTTTTGGTACCGGAAATTGAACTCAGGACTTTGCACTTGCCGGGCAGGCACTTGTGCCGCTGAGCTATACCTCTCGCCCCTTGACTTTTTTTTCTCTTTGGTTTTTGGAGATAGGATCTTGCTATGTAGTTCAGGCTGGCCTCAAACTCAGTGATCCTCCTGCCTCAGCCTCTAGAATGCTGGGATTATAGGCGTGCACCACCACGTCCTGCTGTGGAGCCTGACTTTTGGGAATCCGGCCCATTACTTGGTCCCTCAGTCGGTTTCTTTGTGATCCAGTTCAGAGCGCACACCTTGGCCACATAATGTCAGTCCCGCCCTTATTGGTGATGTTGACTGACCAAATGATGGAGACGATACCTGCCAGATTTCATCACTGCCAAAGCTGCTTTTTTTAGCGGGGCTCAGGACGGTACATGCCCTCCTCTTATACACAAAATGGCATTAGTCAGTGCTCTTTTATTTAGCACCCTTACACTAATCAGTATACCCTGGAAATCATTCAGCTCTCAAAGATCTGTTTCACAACCACGCAGTGCACAATGTGGTGCGTCGTGTGGACGCGCAGGAGTTCGCTCAGCCAATCCAAACGCTGGCACACCTGCCACCAGTGACCTCCTGCATACATCCAGGTTCCTGCTGGGGCAGGCGTTTCTTCAGGGAAATTTCTCAGCCCTGCAACGCGCCGGGGAAGGGGAAACGCACCGGAAGTGTGGTGAGATGCTCCCGGGCTCCCTCTGTCGGGCTGTGCCGTTCCCGCAGCAGAGCCCGCTTCCCTCCGCCTTCTTTGCAGACTGTGTCAAAAGCGGTATCTCAAAGTACCGTGCAATTCCTCTCCTATTTGGACAGAAAGAGAACACCCATCCATTCGTTTTAGGCCCGGTGTGATGTCATTTTTGTGCCGATCACGTCTTCTCCCTGTCTTTACATTGGATTCGTCATCTTTGGGTCCCTCAGTCTTTAAGGGTCACTTTAAAGATCAGTGGGACTGTTAACCCTTTACCTGGGACACGTGTTGCGTAGTATTTGCATACTGTTTTTTCCTGGCTCGTCATTACAGATAAGGGATTTACTTTCACTTGCTGCGCAACAGCGTCCGCCAAACGCCGCGAGCCCGGGGGCGGGGCGCCGGGGACCTGCGCGCCGCGCGTGCGCACTGGCCGGCGGGGCCCTGCGGAGGGGCGGAGCGGAGCCCACCGGCGGCGTCTCCCGGCCGCTCCCGCTGCGCCCCGCCTGTCCGAGGGGCCGCTGTGTGACTTGATCCCTGGCCCCCGGCCATAACTCCGTGGAGAGGCCCGAAGCCTCGGCTCGCGGCGCCCGACCCGCTTCAGCGCCCCCGAGCGGCGCCGCACCCCTCGCGCTGCGCCCCCTGGCGGGCGGCGGGCGCCTGAGCGGCGTTTTCTCTCGCGTCTCCCCGAGCTCCGCGGGTGGGGGGGGCGGCCTTCCTCGGGGTGCACCCCCCAAGGGCATTTTCCTTCTCACACCGACGGGGTGTCTAGTAGTTCGTTTCTGACACTAATTCGGGGGCCAAGCGGGACCGCACTGTCTAAGGCACAGCCAGCCAAAATGGGGTCCCCTCCCTCAGGGCTCCCCCCCGCCCCCCAGTTCTCTAGTACTAGTAAGGTAGGTCGTAGTTGTGGCTGTGGGGCCACTCCCCTCCATCGGCAGGGGCTGGGCAACCCCCGCCCTTGGTCCTAAGGCCTGCCACTTAGATAAGAGGAAGACCCCTGGCCCAGCTGGAGTCCCACGTGCCAGACCTGCTGGCAGGACCCATAACCTCTCTTCACTTGGAGCTTCTGAATAGTTTTTTTTTGTTTGTTTGTTTGTTTTTGAGACAGGGTTTCGCTATGCAGATCAGGCTGGCCTTGAGCTCACCTTGTAGCCCAGGCGGGTCTCGAATTCTGCAGTGATCCTCCTGCCTCAGCCTCCCGAGTGCTGGGATCATAGGCTCACAGGCGTGCGCCAGCACGCCCAGCGCTTGTGAATAGTTCGTGGACTGCATCTCATACATCCAATTATGAGTGCCTTTGGGGAAAGACATAGCTGACCTTAATATACGGGAATGAACCGCCCAGCCTGCCAGATGTCCAAAACGCGCAGTTCATGTTCTCTAAAATTGGGGAATGAATTCTCGGAACAACGGAGGTTAAGAGTAGGAAGAATTTATTGAGAGAAAGACAGCTTCTGTCTGGGAGGGACAGAAGAGGGCCCAGGAAGTGGGAGGCCTGCCAACTCCACTTCTCAAGGGTGTTTACTGAGCAAAGCCAGGAGGTGTAGTGGGTTTAAGGTGGGGCAGAACTATAATCAATCAATAAGATTACAAGCACGGTAGCTTAGCTAACATTGATCCAATGACAAATCATAGGGCGGCTGTGAGGTGGGACAAAACTATAGTCAACCAATAAACACACAAGTATAGTCGCTAGGGTAATATTGATTAAATGATCCAATGGGACAGCAGGTCACGTAGCAATCACGCATGGGATAGACAAGGCCTTTCCTGGAAGGGGTGGGTCAGGAGGTTTGGTCCCCACCCCAAGGCGATTGATGCCCACTTAGAATATCAGTCGCTGCTGTCCATCCCTAGGGGAAGTATGTGGGTAATTGTTTATCCTTCTTCTGGAAGCCTGGCCTTCAGTGAGTGTGCCTCCAGCCACAGTTGCCTTTTGCATTGACCTCTTGAGGGCCCAGCCCTGACTACCTGCAATATTTCTACCTAGCTTAGCTGTCTGTAACAACCTGACTCAGCACTCTGTCAATCACAGTGTCAGTCAAGCTCTGGAAGACCCATGGAAGGCACCAAAGACCCATGGAAGGCACCAAAGACCCATGGAAGGCACCAAAGACCCATGGAAGGCACCAAAGACCCATGGAAGGCACCAAAGACCCAGCGCCAGGTTTTAAATTCTTCAACCCAGCGCCTTTATCGCTGTTGGTCACCCAGGAGGACCCAGAAACCCAACTTGGACCCCATCATCCAGGATAACAGGAATATTATGGAGGGAGGACTCAGGAACAGACCCATGGAGGAGGAGATGGGGTTACCAGCCAGGAAGTTCCCTGAACCCCACAGTGAAGGTTTTTATTGGTGTTTTATTCAGTAGGCGTGATTATGTAGCCTTTGGCGATCGCAGTCAACCTCAGCCCTTCTCCCCTCCCTGAGAGCCCCTCAAGTGATTTTCTTTTTTCTTTTTTTTTTTTATCTTTTTGAGACAGGGTCTCACTATGCAGTTCAGGCTGGCCTTGAGCTCACTTGGTAGCCCAGGCTGGTCTCGAACTTGCAACAATCCTCCTGCCTCAGCCTCCTGAGTGCTGGGATTGCAGGTGTGCCCCACCATGCCCGGCTTGATTTTCTGACCAACAGGCCCAGCCTGCATCTCTCTGGAAGCTGGCCAGCCTACAGAGCAGGAACTTGGGCATGGTTGATGGTTCCATGACCAAGGGCAGACGCTCCCATTACTCAGGGGATGCGAAAGGCTTAGGGAGCTCTGGGCTAGGAGTTGGGGTCAAAAACCAAATACCACATATCTTTTGCTCCCTACCACACACCCTAAAAAACACAACTCAGACTAGTTGGGAGAAAACCATCAAACAAATCCCAGTAGAAGAACATTCTACAAAATAGTCAACCAGCCTAAAAACTGTCAGATCTGCCAAAAACAGAGCCTGAGGAACTCCCACAGTCAGGAGGAGGCAAGGCAACACCACAGTGCTGCAGGACCCAGGCCCGGGTCCCAGGGAAGAAAAGGATTTGGGGAGAAAACAGAGGACATCTAAGTGAGAGCTGTGCTGTGACATAAGTATGAAACATGTGCCGGGCATGGTGGTGCACGCCTGTAACCCCAGCACTTGGGAGGCTGAGGCAGGCAGATTGCTGCGAGTTCGAGACCAGCCTGGGGTACAAAGTGAGTTCAAGGCCAGCCTGAACTGCATAGCGAGACCCTGTCTCAAAAACAATAACAATAAAAAAAATGTACCAATAATATCAGGTACCAATACTGGCTTATTAATTGTAACAAGTGGACCATACTAATGGCAGACATAAATGAAAGCAAACTGGCATATTGGAACTCTCTTCACTCTTGTATAAGTTTTTTGTTGGGGCTGGGGATTTAGCTCAATGGCACAGTGCCTGCCTGGCAAGCAGAAGGTCATGAGTTCAGTTCCCGGTACTGGGGCAGGGGGGAGTTTTTTATATATCTACCTAAAACTATTCTAAAAACAAAGTTTACTCCTTTTTTTGGCAGTACTAGGTTTTTTTCCCCCCAGTACTGGGATTGAACCCAGGGCCCTGGACTTGCTAGGCAGGCATTGCACCACTGAGCTTACCCCCAGCCCTTTCTAAACCTTATCTTGACACGGGATCTTGCTAAATCTCTAAATTGCCCAAGTTGGCCTCAAACTTGTGATCCCCCTGCCTCAGCCTCTCAGACTACTGTGATTACTGGCATGTGCTACCATACCCAGCTAGTTCTCAAAATGATACTGACTGCAATTAGAAAATCCAGGTCAGAAATCATCACAGAAACTCCAGAAATACCGCAAGAAGAAAGGGACAGCAACAGTGAGGCCACTGAGCACATAGCTTCCAGGCCAGCCCAGGCCCAGCCCCCAGCAGTGGCAGCTCAACTCCTAGGCACCAGGGAGGTCAGGGGACGGAGCAAGCGGAAGCCTCCAGCCTCACCCTTCCGGCAGAGGCAGCCCTGACCCCTGGCCCAGCTGGCCCTGGCCGGCAGCTGGCGGGACTGATAAATATCAGGGACTGGACAGGCTGCCTTCTCAATGGAGGATGATGTACAATGACCCCACGATTGTTTCCTACGTAAGAGGTGCAGGGAAGGCTGAGGCCTGAGTTATGAGCTGAATTGCGTGCTCTTAAGAAGACATCTATTAGTCCCAAGCCCGAGTAGCTGAGAATGTGCCCTTTCTGGGAAGTAGGCCCATTGTGGTTATCATGAGTTAAGATGAGGTCGCGCTAATCCAGGGTGACTGCTGGTTTTACAAGAGCACAGCCCTGTGAAAAGAGAGACAGCGAGAGGGGCCGCATGGCGACAAGGCCGAGATGGCGGTGTGCGCCAAAGCACGGAAGAAGCAAGAAAGGCGTCTCTGCAGGGTGCTTCCTGCCAGCATCGCGGTTCCAGGCTTCCGGTCTCCAGAGCAAAGAGACAACTATATTCTGTTTTCTTAAGCCGCCAGGTTACAGACACTGACTAACACAGCCTTATTAACGTTTTCCTCTGGGGCTAATGAAGATACTCTCTACTGGAGACTTTATTTTTTGAAACAGGGTCTTGCTATGTAGTTCAGGCTTGCCTGGAACTCACTATGTAGCCCAGGCTGGCCTCAAATTCACAATGATCCTCCTGCCTGAGCCTCCCAGGTGCTGGGACTATAGGCGTGGCCATCATACAAGCTGTTTTATTTTGAGCCATTTGATCACACAACCTGCTGATACAATGATACTAAAAATGAATAAGGAGAGCATTCAGAAAGTAGATTTTCAGCCAGGCGTGGTGGCACATATGTGTAATCCCAGCACTGGGGAGGCTGAGGCAGGAGGATCATTGCAAGTTTGAGATCAGCCTGGGCTACAAAGTGAGCTGAAGTCTAGTCTGAACTGTGTAGGGAGACCCTGTCTCAAAAAAAAAAAAAAAAAAAAGGACAGATTTTCAAAAGTAAAGGACAAATTGGGTATCTGGACTGACGAGCTGAGAATCAGGAATTGAGTAGGGCACCACCAGCTATTTCGGACCAGTGCAGCATCTGGAAAAATCATCTGGAGGCAATGTGTACTTGTAGTCTAGATCCCAGGGAAGAGAGATCTCCGGATGGGGAACGCTGTGCCCTAACAGGGTAGAAATGGTGACACTGCCGCCAACGCTATTATTGGTGAAAAGAAATGCACTCTTTAGGGCGAGAGGAGACCAGTGAAAGGGCTCACGGTGCCCCAGCATAAGGGAAAGGGGGTTTTGATATCCAGAATTCCCGGATTGTCTCCCTCTCATGCAAATAAGGCATCCTGACAGCGTCCTATCACTTACTGGGCCTGACGCCAGGTATAAACTGGCCTATGGAAAAGCTAGCTTACCTTCCTGCTGTATGTAAATGAAGGATCAAGAACCATGCCTTTGGATTGGCTGTGCCCGTATGCAAATAAAGGATTGAAAAGAGCATCTTCTGATTGGCCCTGTGAACAGCACCTTATTCAAATGAAGGATTGAAAATCGCACTTTTCTGATTGGTGCCTTGTAGAGTGATGATGTCACAGGATTGAGAGCCTCTCTCCCTGCAAGTGCTACCTTGCTACCTTGCCTTAGAATCGTTTTATTTTTAAGATTAAAAGAAAAAAAAAAAGGACCAGCTGAATTCCTCCATATCAAGTGCTTAGATAAATGGTCTTGGTCTTAGAAATGATCTTGCGCTGCATGTATATCAGCTGTACTTGGTTTCAACAAATAAAATACTGCTTGTGGCTCCTTGCATTTTAGACCTTTATGCTGATCTGGAATTGGAATGTATTTTGGCATCACAATGTGTATGTCAGCTTCCCTCCAGAAATGCTCGCTGAGTTGATTCCTCCTCCATGTCTGCG